CGTAATTATGATACACACACATATCCTAACTTATTTAAGTGTTTTTTATTAACATAATATACCTATAGAACGTAGATGTATGGTGGCGTTCTTATGGCATTGACACATGTAAAACCCATTTTTTTTAAATATATAAATAATATTATTTGAGCCTTTAAATATATTTTTTTAAAATTTATTTGAAGTGTTAAAAATATTTACGTAATAAACTAAATGATATAATTGTAGATATCTTAAATAAATAAATAACAATGAAAAGAAAGATAAAAAGAAAAAGAAAATAAAATTTGTTTTCTTTTAATTATTGGACCAAAAATGTAAAATAATACGTCAGGAGGGGTCTGATGGTAAATGTCAGAAACTTGAGGAGGACAAATCTCATCTTTTTCAAAGTTGAGGGACCTGTTTTGCCAAAAGTACAAATCTGTTTGAGAAAACGACCCATCAGCCTAAAACTCGCGATTTGTCCGATTTCTTCAACTAATAAGCCAAAACTCTTGGCATATAAATTGTAGAGCTCTGGCTTAAGAACGTTTTGGTTCAAATAGCTCGAAAAATCGTTGAGTTTTGAGAGAGAAATCTGAGTTTGAAGTTCGGAATCGAAAATCTCGGTTTTTCACCGATTTTGGGTGAGATTCTTAACCAAATCTCTTGATTTCTATGTGTATAGCTTCGTTTTTAAGTAATCTATCAAACCCCAGTAGCCTCATGTCTCATATTTGTGTTTATGTGGTTTGATTTTACGTTTTTAAGTTGTTAAGTTTTAGTTTTAAAAACAAACTTTAAATGAGTAAATGGAACTCATTTCTTGATAAAAATTYGTGTTCTTTATGTCAAAGTGTTGGTAAAAATATTACCAAGAGTTTGGCACAAAAAGAATGAAGAAAAACGGTCAAGAAACGAGCCATTTTCAAGCTCAAAGAGCTTGAAAACGCGTGTATGGCTGCAGTTTTTTTTCGTCCTAGCCACCTACTGTGTATATTAAAAATAATTTGAAAGGAGAGGGCTGAGGCCGCGTTTCGAACCTGTGACCTCACACAAATAGCCCAACGCCTTAACCAGCAAGCTATGTATGAAGTTTGTTACTTTAAGTACGTTCTAATTTTAATATATTGTATACATTTGAGTTTTAGAAATTAATTTTTAACATCTGCAGTTTTAGGARTTTAATTTCTCTACATAAATTTTACAAAACTTTCGTTAAGTTTGTTTGTATTTTGTAAAATACAAACTTTGACTTCATTTCAATTATTTATCTCGTTAAAAACCAAAATGACCTTATAAATGGAAAATCGGTATTTTAGCTATACTTTACGTATTTGCTTCATAAATTACCGAAATGACCCTATGTCTTGAGGGATTGGTCTATGAACTTCATTTTTATATTATTATTTTTATAAAATTTCCAAAACGACCTTATATTTGGAAATCGGTATTTTTGCAATACTTTACGTATTTACTTTATAAAATTACCGAAATGACCCAAGGTCTTGTGAATATGTATCTAAGTGTTATTTTAAATCTAATCCCTATGAAATTACCAAAATGACCCTACAATGTGGAAATCGGTATTTTAGCGATACTTTACGTATTTGCTTTATAAAATTACCGGAATGACCCTATATCTTGGGAATTGGTACCTATGTTTTATTTTGATTGTTATCCTTATGACATTACCAAAATGACCTCACAATTAGGGAATCGGTATTTTAACAATACTTTGAGTATTGTTTAATAAAATTACCAAAATACCCCTATGCTTTGGGATTGGACTTTTAARCAACGTTTTAATATTCAACTTATGAAATATACCAATATATTCTAAATTAGGGAATTGGTAAARCTATACCTTTGCTATTCGGCTTCTTAAGATTTACCGAAATGCCCCTAGACTTGGAAAATTGGTATTCTCACATTATTTCGAGTATTAATTATGTTGAACTTTAAAGTTATGGAACGACCGTTATTTATACGTGTGTGACATGTTGTGACCTTTATTTACTTGCAAATCTTAAACGAGACATTTTGGTCACAAAACATTATTTATGTTGCGAATTATTTAGTTTAGTTATTTTGGTAGAATATTTATTATTCAAGAAAATGTGCAGTATGTTGCTTATTTTTATAAAATGAACGAGCAACAATTAATATTTAACGACGTCACATTATTAATAATATTTCTAGAAAATATTCAAGCGCAACATGAGACATGATGGTATCGGGGGTTGATCAATAGAAGAATGTTAAAAAAAAAGTCGTGTTAAGATTGTTAAGATGTTTAGGAATGATATAAATTATCATGTAGGTTGCCGTTTTTGAGAGAACGACCTATCGAACGTTAACAATTCAAGGTGAGTACATTATGCGATTTTTATGGGATATATACATGATTATTACAAAAGTATTTTATCYATGATATWTGCATGATRTGTTTATATGCATATGATGATAACTTGATTATTTAATGTGCATGATATTTAAGTATATGCATGATATGAAAGATGATGTTGATGAGAAATATTATGATGATTTGATATTATCGATATGATATCCAAGTATGTGTATATTGTGAAAAAAATGATAATGATGCATATGTGATTTATGTTGTCACTTGCATGAGATGTATGTTGCATGTCACGATCATTTGCATTAATGAGTGAGTATTGCAAATAAATGATATGCAACTAGTATGA